TTCCAATTTTTCTCAAGTTACATAAACTGTATAAGGTACACACGTCTTTTATCTGGATCTCTGATTACCTTCTTCAGAGGAACTCCTATAAGTTACTGGGGCAAAGGGAGTGAACTTTTAATTTTTAATAATTGTTTCTTAAATTACAAAAAATTAAAGCCTTCACCATCGGATTTTACTCCATAGAAAGTCTAGGGTGTCTTCAAACCAGTTCGATTCAACCATCCCAAATTCCCTTCCGCTACTGTTTTCAAGGTCTTAAGTAAACGTCTCCCGGCAGCCGGCACTCACGCCTGAGCATAATCGCCCAAACGCTGGTCTCCTTCCCCAAAGTGAAACTTCATGACACGGCGCCGAAGCACCATCTCTTTAAATTTTAAAACGAGGTCTCAGGCCAATGAATGTTAAGTTTCTCCCGGAAGATGGCGCCCCGCCCACAGTCACGCCCTTCACCAATCAAGGAGAGGTGTCCTCCACCGCCCTTCCAATCAGCTTCAAGGATGGAAGTTGCTCACGTAACATACGTAAGGCAAGTGACCAATCGGAGCTGATCTTGGGAGTTGGCTCCGCCAATGGCAGCAGCTCTTGGAGAGCGCGGGAGCGTTTCGATCGGGGCCTCTGAGGGAAGCAGTGAATGGCGCTGGTTCCCTGAAGCAAGGGCTTAGGGGAGAGCGGCGCGGGCCCCAGCCGGAGCCCCGGGGCGGCGGCGCGGCCGCCATGGCCTGCTGTCACAACGTCACGCTGCTGCTGGACACCGCGGGAGGCGCCGCCGGCCAGAGCCCGCTCCGGCGGGCCGCCCTGCGCCTCCTCACTCACCTGAGCTGCCGATTCGGCCTGGCCAGGGTCCGCTGGGCCTTCAAGTTCTTCGACTCGCGGGGGGCGCGGAGCCGACCCTCCCGCGCGTCTGACTTCCGCGAGCTGGGGGCCCGCTCCTGGGAGGACTTCGAGGAGGAGCTGGAGGCCAGGCTCGAGGATGGCGCCCACGGCGGCCACCTGCCGGGCCCGACGCCCAGGGCCGCCCACACGCACGGCGCGCTGATGGAGACGCTGCTGGACTACCAGTGGGACCGGCCCGAGATCACATCGCCCACGAAGCCGGTCCTGCGCAGCCGGGGGAGAAGGCTGCTGGACGTGGAGAGCGAGGCCAGGGAGGCCGGGGGCGCGCTCGGGGGCTTTGCGAACGCCGTCTTCCTGCTGGCCCCCTGCCCGCACTCGCAGAGGGAGCTGCTGCAGTTCGTGTCCGGGTGCGAGGCCCAGGCCCAGCGCCTGCCGCCCGCTCCTAAGCAAGTCATGGAGAAGCTGCTGCCCAAGAGAGTCCAGGAGGTCATGATCGCCCGGAAGGTCACCCTGTACTGGGTGGACACCACAGAGCGGAATAAGGTAAGTTTGTAGTGAACGCCGGTTTAGCGCACGGTGCTCTCCTGGGTAACCGAACTTGCGGCGTGTGCAGAGCAGCCCACAGACCCACAGTGACGCCAGCATGACCAGCGTGCGTCCCTTCGGCAGGCAAGTCCTGTGGTCACAGATAGGGACAGTCTTCACAACAAAATAGGTAGTCCTTGGTAACTGCTACGTCGAAGCGTTTAAGGGCCTTCCCAGACTATTTCTCCCACCCACGACCCATATTCCAGCATACGGAAGCCGCCTCCGGCTGGTCGACAGGCTGGACCGTTGTTTTGCGCTGAGCTGTTCAGTAGCCTGGAACGCCAGTGCTCTCCCTTCTCATCCTTTAAGGCTTTGCCCAAATGGCTGCTACTCAACCCCCACCTCTGAATTTCCACACACTCTGTGTGGCACTTACGCTTTCTCCATTGTGTTCAGGTGTGCACATCTCTCACCTTCCATCTAGTCTAAAACACCTGGAAGGCAGGCCCCAGGTCTGACGTGTCTTTGTGGCTCCTGCAGGTGTGTATCAGACATTGTAGGTGTTCAGTAAATATTTGTTGACTAAATGAATAAATTCTTGTGTACTTACAGTCCCGAATGGCTAATTTGAATTTTTGTTGAGGCCATGGGGCCCCCGCTCCAATTAAGTGTGGGGATAAGTATATATTTTTACCTTCACCATTTTCCTCCTGTCGCTTCATTTAGTCAACAAATGTTCCTTGAGAAGCCGCTGCATTGGGTGCCTACTACACTGTTTTAGCTGCTGGGGATGCAGTGGTCAGCCCAAGTGGAGTTTACTTTCTAGGGGGGAAGATAGATTAAACTGATAAGATTAACAGCATAAACAGATAGGCAAGTAAGTGATAGGATTTCAAATAATGCTCTGAAGAAAAGAAAGCTGGGGAAGGGGCTGGGAGTGGGGCAGAGGAGGTAGAAGGGGGTGGCTATTGTATACAGGGTGGTAGTCAGGGAAGGAAGGCCTTTTTGAACAGAGAATTGAATGGTGAGGGAGGAATGTGAAGGTTGGGAAAGAACATTCCAGGCAAAGTGAAGAGCAGGTGTAAAGATATGAGCTTAGTTTGTTTCAGAAACAAAAAGGCAAGGAATGCTGAGACCTAGTAGGCAAGGACGGGCCTAGTAGGCAAGGGCGAGTGCAACAGGAGAGGAAGTCAGAAGGCAGGAGAGGCCCATCTGTAGGACCAAGGTAGTAGGTGCAGATTTTGTTCTAATTGATGGGGGGGTGGTTTAACCAGGTGGAAGATGTGATGCCACTTATTGGAAATACATGTCACTAAACTAGAAGTGAGTTAAATTGCAAGATTACAGATGGAAAATGAGCAGATAATTAAATAATGATATGGTGTGTTCAAATTTCCAACATGCTCTCATACAGAGCTCAAAAAAGCCGTAGCAAATGCAAAATAAAGCAGCAATGGCTTGTCAAAGAAGAAAGGGAAAGGACAAAAGTGTTTAAGAGGATGGTAAACATTTGATGGAGAAAATGGAATCCTAGAAATTAAAATTTGATAAGGCAGCAAATCCAGTGTAGGACACAACACACAACATATAAGTGCTCGATTTGGGGTAATTGATATCACATCACATCAAAGACTTTGTTCTGGAATTGTTTTATATCAAATGCTGGCTAGAAATAAGTCTGGCAGACGGGGCTTCAAGATTCTTTTTTCAGAAGAGCATTAAAATAAGTTGGTTAATTGGATCTTTTTAAAAATCCCTTCCAGTTCTGATGTTCCACCATCTGAGGGGATAGGTCTTCTCTGAGGCTTCCCTTCTCACATCTGCTATATTGTTTCCCCCAAGAAAACGCCCATTAGATGATCTTTAGCTTTTCTGGAATTTTTTTGTCTGGTGAAAATCTATCTTTTCCTATTCTAAATTCTCTGTCCAGCCACGCTGTGGAGGCAAAAAGGAGCCTTAGGCCCTGTCCTTGGGGAGCTCTCTGTACAGGGGTAGAGAGAAGGGAAGAAGAGAAAATCCAGGACCTGCCTTGCGGAGCTCACAGTCTGGGAAGTAGAATTGGGAGAAACAACGTGGACTCGCAGATGGGGAGGAGGGCTTCAAGCCCACAGAACTCTTGCAAAGATATAGGATAGAAGGGAGCAGAGGAGACCCCTGGCACATTTTCGACTTTATGCCTCTGATTTATTCAACTTATGTTTCTTACATACCTCTAGGTATGCTGGGTGTACTTTTACTGAACCAGACAAATGTGGTCCCTGCTTTCTTGGAGCTTGTGGCCTAGTGGACCATTTATAAATCCCCACATTTGAAACTACTATTAAGACGTCTGTCACTTATCCTATAATATGCATAAAAATGGAAAATGTAACCATGCTCTATATACTGGTTGTAGTTTTTTTTAATCCTGTGCATATATTACGTTTTAATCAAAAGTTAATGTCCTTTTCAACTCTTTTTAAAGTTTTACCTTTCATTTGATAATCAGTTTTTTTTCCCCTGGCTGGTCCTCTGGCTGAAACAGTTTCAACAATTTTTTTGTTTAACATTCTCTCCCATAGCAGTGAACACAGGCATGGACACATGAGTGGTAACAGCAAATATTAATTGATTAATCGATTATAGCATTTTCCAAGCTAGTATGCATAACTGAAAAAAAAGTTTCACAATACATTGTTTTTCTTCATTACATGTGATATTTTCTATTCTAGTTTTTTTCTTTAATGCTGATTATAAACCGCTCAGTGCATCCATCCAAGTCCATCAAAGGGTCACAACCCTAACTTTAAAAGCACTATCCAAGACAGTCCTTGATTCTCGCACTGGTCTATCTTTGCCTTGCCTGTGCCCTTGGGCACTCTTATGCCCCTCTTTGAACTTGAATATAATGGAAGGTTTGGAGATGACCTAGAAGACTTCATATTCACATACAATTGAAGGTTTAAGGTTGTTAACTCCCCTGTGGAGTAGGCAAATCAGCATGATAACCATGTTCTAGGATAGGTGCTCCTCCTTCATGTTCCCATAGTACCTGAATGTTGTCATGTTGTATTGTGATTCTCAGTTAAATATTTCGTGTTATTGCTGTTTTACCCACCCCACCCCTGACTTTAAGATCCTAGAAGACAGGGACTTGGTCTTACTCGTTCATGGCACATAAAGATTGCTTAATAAAAGCTTGTTGAAAGAAGATGAATGAAGAGGCAGCTTATGTGTGAAGGGATGAGGAATGGCTTTTACAGAGAAAGCAGGATTTAAGCTAGATGCTGAAGTATAATAAGCATCTAGTTGGTGAAAAAGGAAGGGTAAGGTGCAGGAAACAGAATCAGCAAAAACACGGAAGCATTATGAAATGTGGTATGTTCAGGAAACAGCAGATGGTTCAGTGTGCCTGGAAGGTAGGGATGGGTGTTTGGAAAGCTTGTTTAGGGTTGTGAAGGGCTTTATGGCTATAGTGAAGAGTTACTTGATCGTGGAGGCAGTGGGAAGCCCTTCAAAGTTTTTAGAGAAGTAGCATGATCAGATGTATGATTTGGAAGGATACTTGTTAGAGCAACATGGAAGAAAGATTAGAGGCGGAACATAGACTTTATAGGCTACAGTAGGAGTCCAAGGGAGAGATGATGAGGGCATTTGTGAAAGCAGTGAGGATAGGACTGAGAAGACCTCTTTGTTCCCTACAGTCCTGTGGGGTGGGCAAGTCAGCAATGATCTCATGCCTCACTCCCATGATACCTGGCCAGTGTTGTGTTGTGTTGTGTAGGACAGAATTATTTCTATTCATGAGTCATGGTTTTGTATTCCTTCTGCCTCTAACATTTTGTGATGTATCCCCAGCGATTTGCATCACTTCTGTTCCTTGACAAAAAAATAGAATCCAAGTGCTCTTTTCACTAAGTGGACACTTTCTTGAAGGCATATTATGTAGTAAATATATTCTTGGGCTGTAGAGTAATGGGACGCTGGCCATTATTTGTGTTTGGCTTAACAAATACATCAATTGTGTAATTTGATCCTTTAGGTATCAACTTTTATCTCTCCTGATTTCCCTTAGCTTTATTTATGAATGCCTACTTTACCATAACCTGAGGTTCTTTGAAATTTTTATTTCAGTTGTGGGAGTCCCCAGACCACCTCGGGTACTGGACAGTGTATGAACTGCTCCACCATGTAGGAGGCACTATCTTGCCTTATGCAACTTTCAGCCAGGATTTCACAAAAGCAAAGGAGACACTGCTCCATAGTGAAAGAACGCTGTCTTGTGAACCTCACCTCTCTTCCTGGATTTCAACTGTGCCAACTGATTCCACTTTAAACTGTTTGCTCTATAATTCTCCTGAGTATGAAGCCTCATTTCCATCGATGGAAGGAATGTTATTTCTCCCTGTCGAAAGTAAGCAAATAATATTTTGGGGAGCTTTTTGGTCACAGTTACATTCATTTCTTCAAGGCAGGCCCATGCTTTTAATTTCTTTAGAATTTCCAGCAGCCTAGGCACTCAATTAATGCTTGTAACTGAAAGAATTAAAAGATGTCTAAGGAAAATCAGAGATACCACAAGAAAGGATTGAACTCTGATGTACAACTGACAGCCTTGTATGAAAAGAACAAGTGAATGATTTTAAAGAGTTTCCTAAGTGTTTGAAAAGAAGGATAGTGTTGTTCAAGTGCCCAAGCTGAGTAGTAAGATTTCATTGCCTCATAGGAGAGATTGATAAACTGAAGACCATAGAGAAACAATGATTGACTAAGAGAAGAAATATGAAATTAGTCAACAGAAGCTGAAAATGGTGCTGACAGGAAGAGCCAGCATGTTGGAACCTTCATAAATTTGCTTTACCATATGATTCACTATATAATGAATCTCATTTCTGAGCACATTATGTATTCACACAGATGTATTCATATGGAACTATGTAGGGATTTATGCATAAAACTATGTTATACATTATGTGCAGTTTAAGGAAATTTCAAGAGTAGTTTTGTTTAAGTAGTTCCATTATACACAGTCTTTAAAATTTAACCTCCTCAGAAGATATGATGCACTGTATTTTATGGATTTAAGAAGTGGTATCTTTTTTGTAAGTAGTGAGAATTGCTTGACTACTTATTTCTGAGTCATAATTATTGAGAAGTTCTGACATCAAGTCATGCCCCTGTAATTCCGTTCACATATAGCTTTTCCTGTAGAACTAAATGAACTTGCTGGGATAGCCTGTTGGCAGTAGAACGAGATGTGAACTAAGTGACAACACTAGTACCTCAACTGACAATCTCATTTTTTCTTCTTACTATTAAATCTATCTTTAATAACTATTTCTTATATTAGAATTTTAATATTCTTTATTTCTAATAGGCAAAGAGATTCAAGAAACATGGGCAGTCACCCTAGAGCCCTTGGCCATGCATCAGAGACATTTTCAGAAACCAGTCAAAATTTTTCTAAAAGGCACAGTGGCCCAGTGGTTTCTCCCAATGAGCAGCACTGTGGGCACTGACAGCTGGATGCTACACAGTCCAGAGGAGAACAAATTGTCTCAAAGGATGTCATTTCAGCAGCTAGTAAGCAGGCTGGCTGCTGATGAGTTACATCTGGTAGGTATCTTCTACATGCTAATTATTCTTGTCTAATAACACATTGGTAAAGTGAAATAAGTGCACTTATGAAATGCCAAGAGCTGCCCTACATAATACATGCATGCCTTGTTTTACTGTGCTTCGCTTTGTTGTGCTTCACAGATACTGCATTTTTTACAAGACCCTCCACCAGAAAAAAGATTATGACTCGCTGAAGGCTCAGATGATGGTTAGCGTTTTTTACCAATAAAGTAGTTTTTAATTAAAGTATGTACGTTGTTTTTTTAGACATAATATTATTGCACACTTAGTACACTACAGTATAGTGTAAACATAACTTTTATATGCACTGGAAAACCAAAAAATTTGTGTGACTTGCTTTATTGCGATATTCGCTTTATTCTAGTGGTCTGGAACCGAACCTGCAATATCTCTGAGGTATGCCTGTATAGTCTCAGTGAAACTGATGATACTTTTGCAAATAATATTGTCTATATTATAGCATCATTACAGCAATGCTCATTAGTGAAGAAACAGTTTATAAATTGCATGTACCTTGAATCCACTTAAGTTAAATTATATTCACATAGGAAGAAAGGCTGTAGGCCAAATGGAATGATTGTGTTAGGGTGGTAAAGTGATGGGTGATTTCTTGTTATTTTTTGACTATTCTATTATGTATTTATTACTTGTATGATAAATACATTTCATTTTTAAAAAGCCACTACACTATAAAATTAGGTATAATAGTGTCTAATAGTTACATAAACTTAGAAATGTCTTCTGAAAGGGAACACATAGATATCCAGATTTGATTTAAAGGTGATGGTTATTTTTAAACTTCCAGAAAATTCCTTACCTTACTTTGTCTTTTGCCTTTGTAACCTCAGAAGGTGTCTATATCCTATTGTGAAACATTCTAGAGAAAAACTGTGTAGTCATCTGAACAGATGTTGTTGTAAGAGTTGTATGCTCCGATGGAAAGAGCACTGGGCCGGGGTGTCAGGTGATCTGGATTAGATCTCAGCTCTGCTGCCCACTGTGTGATCTGAGTACTGTCATGCGCCGCTTAATGATGGGGCTATGTTCTGAGAAATGCATTGTTAGGTGATTTTGTCATTGTGCAAACATCAAAGAGTATACTTACACAAACCTAGATGGTATAACCTACTACAACCTAGGCTTTATAGTACTAACCTTATGTGACCACTGTTGTATATGTGGTCTGAAATTGACCAAAGCCATTGACCACCGTTGTTATGTGGTGCATTACTGTAAATCCCTTATGTCGTAGTATTGCCTTGTGGTTAAGAGCATGGGTTTTAAAGACAGACACACTTGGCTTCTGCCTCTTACTAACTAGGTCACCTTAAACAGGTTACTTAGGGGCCGGCCCGGTGGCATAGTGGTTGGGTTCGTGCACTCCACTGCAGCCGCCTGGGGTTCACAGGTCCAGATCCCAGGTGCAGACCTGCACACTACTTATCAAGCCATGCTGTGGTAAGCGTCCCACATATAAAGTAGAAGAAGATGGGCACAGATGTTAGCCCAGGGCCAATCTTCCTCAGCAAAAAGAGAAGGATTGGCAACAGATGTTAGCTCAGGGCTAATTTTCCTCACACACACAAAAAAAAACAGGTTACTTATTCCTCAGCCTCAATTCCTCCTCTGTAAGATGGGGATAATAATCACTTTTACCTGAGTGGTTGTGAGGGTTCAGTGAGTTATAATAAGTGCTTATTAAATATTCTTGGTAACCTTAGGTTTTTCTTATTTGTAAATTGAGGGATTAGGATTATATGATCAGTAAGTTCAATTCTAGCTCTAATACCCATCAAGTCTATCTTTTCCACAGTTTTCTCTTTTATATTAATAATCATTAGGGAAACTATCGTTCTGTCTTTTACTAAACTACATTCTTCTTTAGGCATATGACAACAATATGTTCAACTAATTAGAACTTCTCCTGTAGGTTGCCGATGTGGACCCTGGTGAAGGCTGGCCCCCTATCACTGGAATTATTTCCCCCCTCTCTACCAATACTACAATTCTCACTGTGTTCCGCACAGAGGAGGCTGAATTTCAAAGACATTTTCTCCAAACAGTTGTGGAAGAGAGCCCCCAGGACACAGCGTCCCTGTTTTCCGATGTTATGGATGGTGTATTGAATCAGATTCACAATTCACTTGAAGATCCTGCTACTTTTGGTAAGCTTCTGAACCAATAACTAACAGAGTCTAGGGCAGAGGTTTACAATCCCTTCCAGCATCAGAACTTTTTTCTCACTATGCTCTTAGTAGAACCCCAGTATGGTGTAAAACGGATAAAAGCATGCTACCATACTTCAGGCAATTTAAATCATCATAATTTTTAGCAGTCTTGAAGCACTTCTAAGACCAAAGTCTTCTGTGAAAACAGTTTGAAATTAAAGGTATAATATGAAACCTGGTTTTTAATATGTTTAATAAAGACTGTAAACCGTCCTGATTCTGTCTACCTTCTGATTCGTTGCATTGTTACTAATATGATACAAACCTTATTTATGCTAGGTAGATATTTTTATAAATATAATCAATTTGATATTCCCTCCATTCATTTATTCAACAGATTTATTGAGGACCTGCTACATGTCGGGCCTTATTCTATGCATTGGTAATGCATCAGAGAACAAAATAAACAAAGGTCTCTGTTCTCGTGGAGCTTGCCATCTAGTCAGGGGAGACAAGACAAACTAAATAATGAAATTATATAGTATATTTGAAAGAGATAAGTGCTATAGTAATAAGGCAAGAAAAAAGGAATGGAGAGTGTTAAGGGGTGGGAGGGTTGCAATTTTAAACAGGCGTTGTTGAAAAAGTAATATTTGAGCAAAGGCTTGAAGGAAGTGATAGGGAGAGAACATTTTGGTAGAGGCATCAGGAAGTGCCAAGGCTCTGAGAAGGGTGTGTGTCTGGTGTTTTGAGGAACAGCAAGGAAGCCTGTGTTTGTACATTTTTGGAGTAGCGTTTTTCAGAGACGATGCAGACCTGTTGGAGTTGGTGGTGCAGATGAAGGAGTGTTGTTAACAATGCCGCTTTGTATGTCCTTTGGAAGAATACTGTCAGTCCAAGGGAGGAGCAAGTGCTTGGTTTCTCTGCTTTGTTTCTAATGCCTCTTTTCCTTTGCTTCCTCTCCCATCTCTGCTCCTTTTCCCCTGTAGCTCCTCCTGTTCCAGAGTGGGCCCAGCAGGAGCTTGGCCGCACCACTCCCTGGAGTGCAGCTGTCTTAGAGAAGTGGTTTCCTTGCTCTAACCTTAGTGGCGCCAGTTCAGATTTGATGGAGTCATTTGGGTAAGACTTTCTTATTTCTCTGGGTAGTGATTATTGAAATCAGCTCTCAGTTATCTGCATGTGGGGTTTTTTTTTTAACAGACCACATTTTCTAGGTATAGTCCAATAATACTAAAAACTAATTACAAATGGAAAGTATTGTTTAATGGGTATAGAGTTTCAGTTTTAGAAGATGAAAAGAGTTCTGGAGATGGTTGGATGTGATGGTCGCACATTATGAATATACTTAATACCACTCAACTATGTACTTAAAAGTAGTTAAGATGATAAGTTTATGTTATGTATATTTTACCACAATAAAAAATTGGAAGAAATTAATTGCAAAAATAAAATGCTCCCATATTATGGATGTCAGAAAATATTTAGTGTTCAATTTCAATGAAAAGGAAAAATAGCAAACTTGTATAATGCAGCTAAATTTATACTTAAAGGAAAATGTATAGACTTAAACTATCTTTTAAAGAAGAAAGATTAAAAACCAATTAGCTAAGTCTCCAACACAGGAAATAATACAAGAGAGTAAACCCAAAAAGTAAAGAAAGAAAGCAATAATAAAGATAAGAACAAAAATGAATCAAATAGAAAACAATCGAAATCAACAGAAACAAAAGATGATTCTTTGAGAAGCCAAATAAAATAGAGTAATCTGTAGCAAGATTGAGCAATTAAAAAAATAACAATATTAGAAATGTAAAAATATAGCAGAAATTCAAAACGTTATTAAGAGGTATAGTCGAGGTTTATTTTTTCCATACATATATCCAGCTGTTCCAACACTATTTGTTAAAAAACATTCTTTTTATCATTGATTTATTGTGGCACCTTTGTCGAAATCAGTTGACCATCATTGTGCAGGTCTATTTCTGGAAAGAATCTAGTCCAGAAATTACATTAATACCACATTGTCATGAGTACTGAAATCAGGTAGTCTTAAGTCCTCTCAACTTTGTTTTTTGTTTTTTCTTTTTTTTCAGAATTGCTTTGGCTATTAAGATCCTTTGCATTTCCGTGTAAATTTTAGAATCAGCCTGTTAATTTCCACAAAAAAAAGCCTGCCAGCATTTTTGACTGAGAGTACATCGAGTCTATAGGTCAATTTGGGAGGAATTAACATCTTAATAATAATGAATCTTCTGATTCATGGACATGGTACAGCTCAAAAGGGCTAAGAATATAACAGGTGCACTTTCTCCTATGAGATAGCAGAATTTACCATAAAGCTCTAGTAAATAAAGCAGTGTGGTATTGGTGTAGACCAATGGAACAGAATAGAGAGCCCAGAAAGTGACCCCCACACTCCTGTGGGAGCTTGGCACATGACAAAGGCAGCAATATAAAACAGCAAAGAGAATAGGCTATTCAATAAATGGTGGTGTAACAATTGGCTATCCAGAAGAAAAAAGATAGAAATTAGATTTCTACTTTATAGCATACACAATAATAAATTTCTAATAAATTAAAAATCCAAATGTGAAAAGCTCAACTTTAAAATTGTAAGAAGGAAAAACAACAGGAGATCAGGCTAGGAAGGGATTTTTTAAATAAGACATAAAAAATTCAAACCACGAAGGAAAATATATGACTATAATGAATTTTAAAATTTCCATATGATGAAAAAGATTAGTCATAGACTCAGATAGCTATAATCCATATAACCAACAAAGGGTTAGTGTCCAAATTGCACAGAGCTCCTAAAAATCAATTTAAGAAAAGACAAGCAATCCAGTAGATAATTGGGCAAAGAATGCAAACGAACAATTCACATGAGGAAATTCAACAGAGCAATAATTTGGAAAGATACTCAGTTCAGGCAAATGGAAATTAAAACCACAATAAGAAAAACCCACAAGATTCTATTTTATACCCATCAGGTTGTCAAAAATTAGTAAATCTGATAATGGCATGTAGGGAAACAAGAACACTTTAGATGATAGAAGTATAAATAGTTACAATCATTTTAGAGTCAATTTGTATTCCTAGTAAAGCAGAAACTACATACTTTTTATGACACCCAGCAATTCCACTTTTTGGTGTCTACCTTAAAGAAATTTTTGCACAAACACAAGGAGATCTACACTAGAATGTTCACTGCCAGTCATTAAAAGTGAAAAGGTGGAAAGAACCAGGTGAGCCTCAGCAGGGAAATGAATAAATTTAAGTGTGGTATAGTTATACAGTAGAATATTGTATATAGATTTAAATTCAGTATAGATTCAGTAAAGCTAAATAAACTAGAGCTATTTATATGCACATGAAAAATATGTTGAGTGCAGAAAGATGTATATCATTTATGTAAAGTTTACAACATATAAGATAGCAATTGATGTTAGTTTTGTTGCATATGTATGTCTCTGTAAATAAGATACACACAAATTTAGGAAGAGCTCTGGGAGGAAGGATGGGAAAAGATTAGGTGGGGCTTTCTCTGTGTCTGTAATGCTTAATTTCATTTAAAAAAGATCTGAAACGAGTATGGCAAACTTTTAACAAGTGTTTAATCTTGGTGGGAGGTACATACTTACCTATTTAATAATGCTCTCTCTATTTTTTTGTGTATTTGAAAGGTTCATAAGTTTTTTAAAAAATGGCAAACCCTCCCCGTTTTTAAAGGAAACATGAGCACACTTAGGGAGAATTAGTCTGCTTCAGACCTACTGCATGTATGAGGCTGATAGCCCCAGCAGATTCAAATAATGTCACCATAACTTTCTCCCTTTTTAAATCAGATGATATCAGATAATGGGTGATAGTGAAATACAAATAATACATTTTGAAAATTATACTATTTTTGTAATTTCCTTAGTGACTGATATTTGGCTTTAGGTAGAAAAGCATTTAATAACCAATCATTCCCCTGCCCTACTTTCTCCCCTTCTCATCAATCCCAAATGAGTTTACTACAATGTGAAAGAATTATTCAGAAGTTGTCGTGATACTTATTATACTGTATTACATCATCTTTATATACATTACATTAAAACTTATGGACACTGAGTAAAAAATAACTGTGGAAGCCCAGAAGTGAAGTAGTTGCCATAATTAGGCATGTACCCTAAGACATGAAGAATCTTTTAAGTCAATACTGTATGTAATGATTAATGGTTTTGTGAACAAGTAGCTTCTGCCCCTGAATTTGTTCAAATCATAAATGAAAGAAGAAACATTTTCCCTCCTGAGAAAATATATTTTTAAAGGCATCTTGTGGGGACATCTTTGGATTAGCTTTTAAAAGGATAATGAATTTTGTTGGTTTTTAAAGCATTTTGAAAAATCAGAATTTCAGCTTTATGCTAGAGATCTTGTTCACAGGTTACTGCGGGCTGCCTCATCTAATAAAGAAGAGTCTTCCAAAACTGAAAGTGAATTAACACATTGCCTCTCCGAGCTCTACCAGAGAAAGTCTCGTGAAGAATCCACTGTGTCTAGTCAGGAAGACAGCAAAAAGAAACGTATGCACGTAGAAATGCTATTTCTTAAGGCAGTTTTTTTTGAGACTGTATGTTTTAAAAGATTGACATTCCCTAAAATGAGGTTGAAATGGTAACTGAATAAAGAAGGACAAATTCTTGTATTTCACATTTGAAAACAATTACATTATTACAATAGTGATAAAAGAAATCACCCACAATCCTACCTTCTTAATGAATAAACCATTTTCATCTTTAGTTATAACAAATTTAAATACAACTTTGCTGCTTAAAAATATCTGTTCATTTGCTACCTTGCCTTTTTGGTTGCTATTCTACCTCATTGCTTAACAAAATTTACAAAATTCTTACGTTGTTGAACATGTAGATTGTTTTCAGTTTTTATCATTGTAAATAATACATCATGCATATGATTTATTCTTTGGGTGATTTCCTTAGCATAAGTTTCCAGGAGCAAGTTACCGTATCAAAAAGTAGCTCTTGATGCAGACTGCTAAATTCCCTATCAGAATAGTTATATCACAACCTGTGACCTTTGGGTAACACCAAAATGAGTCTGTTTGGCATTTGTCTTATGTAAAAATCATCTAATCACATTCAGATGTTTAGTTCCTAAACTTCAGTTAAAAGAAGAGCTCTCTTTCTACCTTTGTTGTAGGTAGAAAGAGACTTAAGAACTAATTCAGCTCATTCTGAAAGGATAAACTTCATTTCAGTATTCTTTCACAGAATATTTAATTTGAATTAAAGTACTTCTTGAGTTCACAGAAGTAAAAGTTATTTTACGTTTCTTCTCATGATGTCGTTTTGATAGGAGGTATCCCTCGTACTCCAGTGAGACAGAAGATGAACACCATGTGCCGTTCCTTAAAGATGCTGAATGTTGCGAGGCTAAATGTGAAGGCTCAGAAGTTACATCCAGATGGCAGTCCAGATGCAGTTGGAGAGAAAGGGCTCCAAAAGACAGCCAGGGGAAGAATAGCAGATAAATTGGAAAGTAGAGGAAGGACACTAAGAAGTGCTAAACCTAAAGGTATGCCTCAATTTCATAGCATTTTGGTGTCTAAGTCCATGTTTTCTCTTTTATACCCTCATATTTTTATAAATTTTAATCATATCCCTCAATTAATGAACACTTATTGAATATCTACATGCCCAGAAGTGTGTCATGGGAAATGCAATAAAAAGAAGATAATGTTCTCTTCTTAGATTTATGATCCAACTACAAAGATAACTATAAGAACATATATACATTGATGTATATATAATATATATAATGAACTAATAAAACTAATACATGAGAGAGCCAAGAGTCTACAACAGAAAATACTTGGTCATTTGGGAAGTAAAGTCATACAAAGCATCACAAAAGAGGTCAGTCTTGGGCTGGAACAGGCTAGGGAGGCTTCTCAAGAGCCAGTGGAGCCCAGGCTACACTCTGAAGAATGAGCAGAGTTTAGAGGGCAGAAAGGTAAAAGAGCATGCGAGATGGGCGATTAGCATAAGCACAGTCACAAAGAAGAAGGGCCATGGCTTGGCCATAGGACAAGTGGTTAAAGAAGTTTTATACATTTATGAATAAAGGGAGAGGGGAAATGTTCGTGAGTAATCTAGTGTGAGGTTATTGAGATGTTTCAAAGTTGGGCAGAATTATTTCGTCCAGTAGCTGCTATTTTCCTATTTGTTCTCTTTTCTTTTTTTAAAAATAGATTGAATTACAGTATGTTTCTTATTTTCAGGGTACATTCTTAGCTCACACTGACAGTGCCAGTCCTGTGGGATGATTGTGACAATTGCTTATGAACTCTGGGCAATAATTGCGTGATGTCATCTTTGAGTTCTTTTAAAAATACTGGAGTCAAAGTTTTCTGCTCCTTTAAAGATTGTTTTCCTGTGGAATTCTAGATCCATAGGTGATAATCAATTTGAGTGAAACAACATCTTTAATGAGTTAGTAAAGGTATAAGAATGTGGATGATACATTCAAGAGAGAGCAAAAATAACAGTATGTACTCAAGACAGTGTGGTATTAACAAAATTTCAGGACTAGATTATTTCTAGAAATGTTCCTGCACAACAGTGGTAAATTGATTTTTGACAAAGTTGCCCCAATAATTCAATGCAAAAAGGATAGTCTTTTCAACAAATGGTGCTGGAACAACTGGATATCTTTACGGAAAAAATGAACCTCGACCTTAAACCTCTTAATAGTATTTTGAATTTCTGCTCCATTTTTTCATTTCTAATATTGTTTATTTATGCATTTCTCTTTTTTTAATTGCTCAATCTTGCTATAGATTTCTCTGTTTTATTTGGCTTTTCAAAGAATTGTCTTTTGTTTCTGTTGGTCTCTTGGTTTTTTTCCTATTTTATTCATTTCTGTTATCTTTATTATAGCTTTCTTATTTTTTGCATTTACTCTCTTGTTATTTCTTGTGTTGGACCCTTAGCTAATTGGTTTTTAATTTTTTGTCTTTAAAAGATAATTTGTAGGGCCGGCCCCGTGGCTTAGCGGTTAAGTGCGCGCGCTCCGCTGCTGGCGGCCTGGGTTCGGATCCTGGGCGCGCACCGACACACCGCTTCTCCGGCCATGCTGAGGCCGTGTCCCACATACAGCAACTAGAAGGATGTGCAGCTATGACATACAACAATCTACTGGGGCTTTGGGGGGGAAATAAATAAATAAATAAAATCTAAAAAAAAAAAAAGATAATTTGTAAATTTTCCTTTAAATATAAATTTAACTGGATTATACAAGTTTGTATATTCCGTTTTCCTTGATACTTAGTTCTAAATATTTTCTGACATACATAATATAAGGGAGTGTTTTATTTTTGTAGTTAGTTTTTAATATTTTTGGACTGTGCACCGATGTATTCTGTAAGACAATAATTCTTTAATATTTGCTGAAACTCTGGCCTAATATGTGGTCAAGTTTTGTTAATATTCCATGTGTACTTGAAAATAATGTGTATTGTCTTTTTTTTTTTTTTTTGAGGAAGATCAGCCCTGAGCTAACATCCATGCTAATCCTCCTCTTTTTGCTGAGGAAGACCGGCTCTGAGCTAACATCTATTGCCAATCCTCCTCCTTTTTTTGCCCCCAATGCCCCAGTAGATAGTTGTATGTCGTAGTTGCACATCCTTCTAGTTGCTGTATGTGGGACACCGCCTCAGCATGGCCGGAGAAGCGGTGCGTCGGTGCGCACCTAGGATCCGAACCTGGGGCCGCCAGTAGTAGAGCGCACGCACTTAACCGCTAAGCCACGGGGCCGGCCCAATGTATATTGTCTTAACAGCTGGGTACTTGGTTCTGTACATGTCCATTACATCAAGTTTATTAATGTTTGAATATTCAACATTCTTAATTTTTTTCTACTTTTTCGTATAACTGAGATATCGTTTTATAATCTTTCACCATGTAAATTTGTCAAAATTCCCTTGCAATTCTGCCAGTTTTTGCATTATATATTTTGAGGCTTGTTAGGTTCATACAGATTCAGAATTGTTTATATCTTTCTTGTAATTATATCTTTTGTCAATGAGTAATGATAACTATTTATTCCTAATAACTTTATGCTTTAAAGTTTATTTTTCTTGGTATTAATATAGCTACACTAGCTTTCTTTTGGTTAGTGTTTGGCTTAATATCTTTCTATTCCTTTATTTCCAATGTTTCTTTGTCATTATGTTTTGGGTATATCCTTTATAAATGCATACATTTTTTAATCTAATCTGACAGTTGCTATCTTTTAATCAGTATTTGTAAGGTAAATGTTTATAATTATGATTACTGATAAGCTTGGATGTATTTTAGGGTCTTAGTTTGTGCTTGTTTTTTTCCTTTCTAGCAGGCTATGAGATTCATCAAGTTTTCTTGATTCCTCTTTTTTGTTTCTTCTAGGTTTGGAGCTTATATAGTTTCTTTCTTTTCCATTAGTGGTTACCCTTAAATTTATAATGTGTACACTTGATTTGCAAAGCCTTAAAATTGATCACTGTCTCTGTACTTTCTCAACCTTGATGCTATTGACATTTTGGATCAGATAATTCTCTGTTGTGGGGGCTGTTCTATGCACTATGGGATGTTTAGCAGCATCCCTGGCCTCTGCCCACTAGATGCCAGTAGCACCACTTCTCCTCACCAGTCGTGACAACTCAGGCAGCCAAATAGCCTCTGGGAGGCAAAAATTCCCAGTTGACAAATAATACAAGGACTTCAGCTGGAGTTGATGATCAATTTGTCTTTGTCTTTCACAGATTTTAAAACTGAGGAAGAGCTACTGTCTTACATACATGAAAATTACCAAAAGACTGTGGCCACAGGACAAATCAGATTGTATTCATGTGCTCAGAACATGATCTCAACCATTAAAGCGTTCCTAAAGTCCAGAGGCACCAAGGAATTAGAAGTAAGTGAGGGGGGGGTATTATTTGTCATAGAAGTAACAAACATCTTGGTTGTTTGTTGGTGGGTTTGGTTCATATGTCTTGGAAATGTCTATTATGCAGTGCGTGATTAAAAAATGATAAGATGAGCAAGGGGGTGAGCACAATTCCAGATCTTGGAAAATGGATGTGTGAATTGGAAAGGCATAAATCAAGGAAACAGCTGGGGGGCGGGGGGAGTTGGGGGTTAGTAATTACATGTACTTCTCTTTTAATGAAACCTCTAGCCTCATCTGAGCTGTGTGAATTAAGCCAGTGGTTCTTAATCCTGGCTGCAGTTCACAGTCACCTAGATTATTTTTTTTAAATGCTGATGCCTGGCTCCCTCCAGACAAACTGAAACAGATCTGTGGGGGTTGGGACCTGGGCATCTATACTTTTAAAAAGCTTCCTAGATGATTCTTCTGCACAGGGAATGTTGCAAACCACTGTTTTAGACCGTGTTGTTGTTGTTTTTATTCGTGGTTGGTGGTGAAAGCCAGGCTCCTTCTCCAAAGCAAAAAGGAGAGGAGTTGTCTAGAGTACTTAGCCTTCTCCATCACTACTTTCTGGAATCTTCCTTTTAAGAAAGTTCAAATCTGCAGGCTTGCTCTATCCGTGCCCACTTACTATCAAATACTTTTACTATGTTCTTTTTAAAGATATAAAATAAGAATATTCATTTCACTATTTTCATTCAAATGAAAGAAGGGGGAAATTTGTAAGGGAATGTACTTCCCTTCTTAGGGCATTAGTCAGCTATGGAAGAAATTAGAAATAATGATAAGTAACTTAATATTCTATGTGATAATTTTGTATTTTCAGGTGAACTGCCTGAATCAAGTAAAAAATAACCTCTTAAAAACTAGCAAAAGTCTCCGGCAGAATCTAGGAAAAAAACTGGATAAAGAAGACAAAGTCAGAGAGTGAGTAACAACTTTTTTTTTTTTTTTGCCATACTCAAACAAAGCTCCAAGATTTGCTTGTATCGGTTTAAAATAGGTTGCCAATTGCTTGAAGAGGCTTTTGTAGCTGATTCTTTATGATCTTATGTGCAGTTTGAGTCTCCTATTTACCTAGTAACCATATCATTATTTAGAGAAAGCAATGGTGGTTCTCCTTTTTTGATTGTTGTTTCTTATATAAACAATCTATGCTTAAGGAAGGAGCTTTTGGTTACACAGCTCAAAGTAGATATGACCAAGTCTTTTTTTCTCTCAAGGTGCCAGCTTCAGGTGTTTCTTCGTTTGGAGATGTGCCTGCAGTGCCCTTCAGTACATGAAAACATAGGTGACGTGGAGTGGGTAGTGGAGGAGGCAAGTATATAGCTTAGTGCCGCTGGGAATAGCCACGGATGCATTCAGCTTCCCTGCAGAAGGCAGGTGGTAATTTTCTAAAATCTCCTTCAGGTGACAGATTTGCTGCGCATGGTGTGTTTAACTGAGGATTCAGCATACCTAGCAAAGTTTCTGGAGGAAATTTTGGGATTGTAAGTTTGATGCCTACTAACTTAACTTTGAAACTATTTTACCAAGAACTACATATGGTATTATCTCAGAATTATGGAATTGTAAGGACTGTTTCTCATGCTGGGTGAGGGAAGGTGTAGGGAGGGTGGAATGGTGACCGTTCCATATTTAACCAATCTCTTCCACAGGTATATTGACTCTATCCCAAAGATGCTTGGAAATCTTTACGACAGCCTAGGGTTTGTAATTCCTCAGAAGCTGGCTGGTGTCCTTCCTACAGATTTTTTCAGTGATGACTCCATGACACAGGAGAGCAAATCACCGCTTCTTTCTGTGCCTCTTATGTCAAGTGCTCATAGATCAGTGTTGGGTGGCACTGAATCTGACCAACTAGAGGAGCTTCGTACCAGATCAGCTAAGAAGAGAAGGTAGGAATTCAAGTAATTAAAGAAATTACTTGCACTGTTACAGTTCTGACAAAGGGCATGTTTAAACCATAGTCCATTTGTTTTTGTCTATAATTGATTGAATTAATAGTTAGTTGCCCTTATGTCTGAATCGCAGAAGCCAATTGTTGAAGTTCCTAACAAGGAGCATCTGACACTCTTTACCTTTTTCAGGGAACATACAGTATGTATTGTGTAGTCCACAGTGCCCTTCTTGACTGCCATATGGGGTCTCCAGCAACTAGGAGCCTTTCATGAGATAAACTTAGGGTTTCAGCTTATTTTTTAAGTTTTCCTTGATGCTTTTCATTGTTTGTAACTAAATGAATTTATAGTAGTTACTTTTAGAAATTCCGAGGTTGATTTGTTTTGCTATAAATTCAGGGCAATCCCAAGATAAGTGACTTTTATTTAAGTAATGTTTTATTTTAAACTCTAGTTCCATTCTAATTTAATTACTTTTGTAACCTGAATTGAGTGTATATTGACTGTTTTTTTTCCTTCTTTCAAAAGAAAAAATGCACTAATAAGACATAAAAGCATTGCAGAGGTTTCACAGAATCTTCGACAAATTGAAATTCCCAAAGTGTCCAAGAGAGCTACAAAAAATGTAAGTCATTTCCAGGAGACAAGAAATGGCACTACCAGAGTTGTTCCTTTCGGCATGAGTTGACACAATAAATAAGAATGAAAGACCGTGTCTCTACTTTTAAGAAATGGACACTAGAGGATACAGAAATAAAATTAGGTAGTTTATGAATGTGTATACCACTGTAATCCAAGGAATAAAGAAATATAAATTTGTTAAAGATTAACCATTTTACCCAAAAGTGTGACAAAGGTAATAGAAAGAAAAATAGCAAGTAAAAGTTAGGAATGAGTAAGTTAATACAAAATCTTTAATGTAGATAAGAACACTCATAAAATAGTAACTAACATAAGCAAAGAAACCATTGAAAAATAATGTACAATCATAATAGGACTTTGCTTACCATAAAGTACTTTTCAGTACGTTTTACTTCTATAACAAGTTAAAAAAAAAAAAACACTCTCAGGAAGCCAGGTGGTAATTGTTTTTCTGTGGAAGTAGATGTAAGGACTTGAGGTTTTTGTTGGTTGCAAAAAAAAAAAAAAAAAGAAACCCAGCTGGAGTCTATTTACTAAGTAGAATTAATGTTTTGCTAAGGCAAGAAGAGGGACAAAAATGCCTTGAGACTTTTGAACTACATGAATTATCTGAGAAGAGTTAAAATTCTCTGAGAACTAGCTTTAGAAGCATTAATCATTACACCAGTGGTTTGCTGTGTTCCTAGAGATTTATGGCTGTCCTTTGGAATTGGAGGTGGGATTTCTTTTAAAGAGTTAGTGTTGTTCACTTTCTCAGTATACGTTAATAAGTATAAGTGAATAAGATGCAAATCTTATGTATGAAATCCAAGAGGTGTCAGACCTCCTCTCACTAGACTTTACAATGATTTGCAGTCCTTTCTAGTACTCCTTTTTGAAACTTTTGTTTTAGATTAGCTAAGAAAGTTTCCTTCTATAAGACCAGATTTACTGAGGTCAGGATTTGATTTTGGTTAATAAAGAACATCATTTGTTGAGCCAGCCCTGATGGGTCTAGTGGTTTAAGTTCAGTGTTCTCACCTCTTCGGAAGCCCATATGCATTTCCCAGTCGTGGAACCACATCACCCATCTGTCAGTTGCCGTGCTGTGGTGGCGGCTCACACAGAAGAATCAGAAGGACATACAACTAGAATATACAACCGTGCACTGGGGCTTTGGGGAAGATAAAAAAAAAAGGAGGAAGATAGGCAACAGATGTTAGCTCAGGGCAAATCTTTCCCTAAAAAAAAAAAAGAACACCATTTTTTACGTTTCTGCCCCTATATGAGGCTTCATTTTTTAATTACTACAGTGCCATAATTGAAAAAACAAAACAAAAAATCTAAAAACAGTTGTATTGTTTGAGATGTATCTGGACTCTTGAATTCTTTACTATAATAGCAAATAAATAGCAGTTTAATACAGAGAAGTTCCTACTAATATAGCCATCCTCTAATTAATTTGTGAGTTTTCCCTTATTTTTTAGTTATAAAAGGTATATATAATCATCATTAAAAAGTTGAAATCATATAAAGTTAAGAGTGTCTCTTCTCCATCCATTCTTCAGAAGTAATCACTGAGGACAGTTTGTTGTGTATATTCCCAGGCCCTTTTCTGTATATACCAATAGCATCAAAGGTTTATACACGTCTGTTACACACATACATATACATAAACATTACAAGTGGTTAACCTACTGTACTTATTATTCTGCAGTTTTTTATGCTTTTTCCCCATCATGAACCTCTTTCTGTGTTAGTATATATAGGTCTTGCCTTCCTTCTCTATTTTTACAGGTCTTCCTAATTCTTTTAATGTCTGCATTGGATAGATGTATCATAATTTGTTTCACTCTCTGGGTATTTAGGGTGTTTCTTATTTTGTGTTATTACAATGCAGCCTTCAATGTCCTTGGAACATATATCTATTTTTTGAGCATTTTAACAACTATTTCTGTTATGGATTTCTACAAATGGAACTGCAGAGATCAAAGGGTTTTGTGTGGAGTTGTTATTCTTATATTTTAAATGAACACTTATTTAAATTTTCTTATCAGATTTTGTCATCTTTCAGGAGAATTCACACCCTCCTCTTCAGCAGCCTCCACTCCCAGGGAAAGATACAGTACAAGGTATACTTTGTTTTCTTGGTGTATGCGTTTATTGACTAGAATGACAAATTTATTTTGATTGCATGTACTTAAGCAGCTGCATATGGTTATAAATTAGAGTTTTTTATAATTGTTAGTTAATGAAATATATCCAAATACTGTGTGCTAAGGGAATAAGATGTTCACATGGTCTCAAAATATTGCATTCTGCGAAATAACAAGCCTGAGATCTTTTTTATAATTTTATTTATTTATTTTTTTCCCCCCAAAGACCCAGCAGATAGTTGCATGTCATAGGTGCACATCCTTCTAGTTGCTGTATGTGGGACGCGGCCCCAGCATGGCTGGAGAAGCAGTGTGTCAGTGCACACCCAGGATCCGAACCTGGGCCGCCAGTAGCGGAGCACGCGCACTTAACCGCTAAGCCACGGAGCTGGCCCGCTGAGATCTTTTTTAAAAATGCCATTATCATGAAAGAAAAAAAAAAAAAAAAGAGGCAGCGAAACTGGAAAGATGAATTAGATAATATGCCCTTGTTCTTAGGAGACATGCTGAAGTACAGGGAGCTGAAGAGTTGTGATGTCTGCAGCTTACTCTGCAGTATTCAGGGTGAAAAATCGTGTAAATGTAGAGCGAGGTGGAGGGGAAGAAAACACATGTTGACAATTGGTGAATTTTAGTGACGACTCTATGGTTATTGTTATTTAAAATTTTCTGTAGATATCAAACTTCTCAAAAACTTGGGAAAAAGAGAAAGTAACACATTAAATTTGGCTGTCAGGTCACAAGTCAGTTTCACGGAGAGCCTAAGGCAGGTAACAAGGACACATTTACAAGGAGTTATTTAAGTGACTTGCTCTTAGAACAATTTACCCTTGGTGAATTTTTGAGCAGCCTCCACTAGGCCATCTTGCTTAAGACAGATGCCTTCCTGCTAGCTTTGTCAAGTATTTCTTGACTCTTCAGCTATTTTTCCTAACTTTGAGTCTAGATGGTCACAACTCTCATGCTCTGGAGTTAGGAAGAAAATTTAAAATAACCCAACAACTTAGTAAAATACTTATAAAAGAAAGAAATCTGTGGAATTGAAAAGAACAGTTTCTCTACTTGAGGCTGAGCTGAATACAAAGCAGCAAAAAGGTCCAAAATGAGAAAAATCATCATAACACTGAGATGTATTAAAAGGACCATGACTACATTAGCCAACTTCTCTCTTAAGGGTTATGTCCATTTTACAATGAGTAAAGCTTCTAATTTAAGTGATAATAGGCTTTCCTTGTTCCTGAAAAGCTGGATTTAAGTTGAATTTGTAAGAGTAAATAGTTTTAATGTACCATGTGAGTATAATATTTAAGGAAATCCTATTAGTAAATGTGAATATAGCAATCAGTCTGTAGAATAATTTCCTTAAGTAGCTTCTCTGTTTTGGATTTCTTTCTTTTCCCAGATAAGGCATTTATTAGCAATAATATTTGGCTTTTTTTTTTTTTTTTTTTTTTTTTTTTCAGATGTTTCTATAGTTCGATGATATCTCTTCAACCTGGAAATGATTTCACCTTCAAAGAGATCTGTGAAGCAGGGGTTGCCTAGAAGCCATTCTGTGTCAGCTGTGGAAGGTCTGGAGTATAAACTTGACAACTTCAAGAGGAC